TGGGGGGAGGGGGAAGTTCTACAGTAGGTATATCATTGCACATGGAAAATACAGTTATTGCACAGGTTTTTTTGAGAGTTCACAGTTTGTGTTAATTGTGTGTTCATTGTTCTTATGGCCAAGGGGAAGAAGCTGTTGGTCAGCCTGGAGGTGCGGGCTCTGATTGACCTGTATCTGCTGCCCGAGGGGGGCAGATCGAACAGGTGGTGGGCTGGGTGGGGCTGGTTCTTCCTGAAGTCGAAGATAGCTTCTTCGGTTCTGGTGGTGTTCAGGAGCAGGTTGTTTGCCTTTGCAGCTGCTGAAAGTCCTCCCTGTAGACGGTCTTGTCTCGTTTTGACAACATATCTGCATTAGATCGGTTTGAAAGAGGGAAACCAGAAATCCTGCAACAAAAAAATTCTATTAAAAAGAAACTGCTGCATGAGGTCAGATGTTTTGGAAAAGGCCGTTATTTGCTTTCTGGGCCACGGTTGGAAGACATGGTCGACACCACTGTCATGTTCGTCCTATGTGAAGTTAAAGCAGCGGCTGTAGCACAGTCTGAATAATTCAAATTTACCAAATTGTCCAAATGTTAAAAGATTCACCTTTTAATCAACAATTCATACGCAAACATTTCCAGAGATTTATTAACCTGAGAAATATCCAAGCTCGTAGTGAACTCCCTGAACCTAAGCTAGTGTCTATTAGATTTACATTGGTTGCAGAGATAAAACAAAAACATTTATTAGTACAAACTAGAGCGTTTTTAAAATTGCGCGAGGCTAGCAGTGTTCCCATGGTTCTTTATCACCTGGTAGCCATAGCAACATTTTACCAGAGAGACAAAAGGGTAATCTGAGCTTATTCATTAGAGGCTTACTCTAAATATTAACATAATATTAGCATAGCACATTTGCAAGACTCCTTAAGCAGTAAGTGTTCGAGTAGCACTAAATTGTACTAATTCAAAAGGTTTCTAGATTTTACAATTCATGCAAAAACTCAAGTTGTGTAAAACATATACATGTTAGGGCTCTCAAGAAAAGTTTGCAGTTTTACATAAAGTGAAATATATGATGTGAGTAAGTCAAATTTAGGACAGCGCTAGGCTAGCGGTTTCGCCATGCTATACTGCGGCTATATCACCTATACCGTTCTCCACTATACCTTGGAGCTCGACCCTCAGAATGACGTCACCTGTGTTGATACGTTCCAGTTGCACATGGGTCGGAAATCGAAGAAAGAACATTATGACCGTACGAATCTCGGGACAATATATTGGGACCAAGGTTGCGTGAGTGTTTTATTCATCTGAATGTGCCACGAAGAAAATCAACTTTATCGTTACTCTCTGCAGCAGCATGAAGTTTCCCTGTGAATAGTCTGTGATGTTGATGAGGCTGTAACATCAGTTTCTTGTGTCTCCTTGGTCCATGTGACAGTCTGGGAGCTTCTGTACCATAGCTGCTGCTGCTGCTGCTGTGCTAATGACCTGTTTGAACCAGTGTCAATGTTAATGCTGCTGCAACAATACATTTTCAGATAAGACAAATGCAAATGCTGAAATGTCCAATTGACTGGTCATCGGCCATTAGTGCCCCGGCACCCCCGGGGTTGTCAGTCGTGTGTTAATTATTTGGCATTGTAGTGGGAAGTGCATTTACTCAAATGCTGTACTCAGGTACAACTTTGAGGTACTTGTCCTTAACCTGAATATATTTGTATCTTATTAAGTTTGCAACTTATTCTCAAATACATAACAGGGAAGTTTTTTTTTGCCAAATAGGTCAATTAGGAGTTATATTCCCTTTTAAGATTTTGCATAAAAATATATGATCAGTTTATGACATGAAGCTTTGTACTTATATTATGATATACTAATATTATAAATATCACATATAATCATGATTATCATGAGTTAAATGCTTCTTACATGTTAATGCCTCAACAAATATGCTTATGTGTAATTACTACTTCGTTTGACACCTAATGTACATTTTCTTACTTTTATGGGTTGAACTTTGTTTGTTGGATGAAGCAGCAGAAGGCTTGTCTGTGCTTTTACTTTGTGCTTCTATAAAATAACTCAAGTGATATTTTGACTGAACAACTTTACTTATAATTGCAAAGTCCAGCACAGGGTTTTTGCTACTTTTACTGGTGTAATGATTCTGAATAGTTCTTTAAATGAAATTGTATTGTCTTTGCATCTATATGCAAGAGGTGCCGATCTTGAAATAACATTGACTTATCGTACAATAAATGACATCTTTTTATTTAGTTTTACAGTCACATTATTGACTACATGCAGTTTCAGGGGTTTTCTTTGTGGCCTTTTTTGATTTGTCAAGTATGTTTGTGTGTGTGTGTGAAAAAATCCTCCTTCCCTTGTAGCTACACCCTCTAACCCACAACTGTGAATGAAGGGTTTACAAACAAGAAGGAGCAAATTGTTGAGAATGAGCTGCAGGGAGAAATCATTTATGACCATAGGAGCACAACAAACTGCCTGAGGATAGACACACACACTGTTTGCTGAAGTGGGTCAGTTTGAGAAACATAAGAATGGTCCTAATAGACGATGGTTATCAACTTTTATAGGAGCACTGACAGAGGATTAAAAGATTGATAACACATGCATCACATTCTTAAAGGACTACACCAAGTTAATGCTCGTGGATATATCAGAATCAGAAGTACTTTATTAATCCCCGTAGGGAAATTAAAATGTTGAGTACAGTATTTGCACTATGACATTAATCATTCATGCAGTTATATATTTAGGGTTTTTTATAGGTTACAGATAGCCTTTGTTATGTATCCAATTGTATTTAATCAGCTGGCAGACACTTGAAACGAGCGTTGTGTTTTGTGCAATGTAACTTTGATATGAGTTGAAGCTGGGCTGATGGGCACTATCATACTGTATATTACACTCATCAAGCAAGTCTTAAGAGTCAGTGGAATATCATCTGGTACATTCAGTACAGAAATAGCATGTTTTATGTGATGCAGTTTCTCGTACAATGATAAATAAAATATAAAATTTTTCCTGATGAAGTATTTGAGAGCTGAGCTGATGCAGATCTGACATTATGTTTTATGTCTGTTTGTCAAACTAAACGTAATGGAAGCTCCTAATGTGACATTAGTGACATTTTTAATTGTTGAATCTTTGTGTCATCTCTGTGTTTGTTGGTGTGAGCTTGTGTACAAAAGGAAACCAGTTGTCCATGGGGAGTCAGTGCAGGTTTGGTTGGAAGGTGTCGGGAAGTTCGAAGGACGTTTTATTCGGGGTGAGTAGGTGTCTCCCCCTCTCTCTCTCGCTCTCTCTCTCCCCTTTTGTCTCTTCTTTTCAGGTGTGGGGTGTGGAGCCCGGAGTCAGGGGCCCGTGCTCATACCTCTGCAGGGAAGTTAGTTAAACCTTATTTACATTTGTGATGCCAATCACACAGATACTTGAACCAAACAAAGACTGAAAAGTGGTGAACGTTGGTGATTCCACAAGTCAGAGATCAGAACACCCCCTGCTCACAACAGCCGGTTTGATAAAAATGATTACAAATGTGAAAACACTGTTGTTGTGGTAAAATGGGTGCTGCCCTAATGATTTATCAGATTATTATTTCAGCATAACTGTACATGCAGCACCGGGAATCCAGTCAGGAGACCGCATGACAATCCTGGACTTCAGAGACTTAGGGGGGAAAAGTTGTAGAACCACAAACAAACACAAACATCCCATAAACCTCAGGCAAAACACTGAGGCATTTTTACTGTTAACATCCTCCTGGCTTTGTGAACTGGACTGTCTCAGCTGTCTGGTTGAACTGGTTAAAGGTTTGTGTCTATTGGTCAGCAAAAACTGTCTGTTCAGTATGTCAGAGCTCATAAAGAGGAAGTGAGACTCATCACCAGTGTACTGTTAGCATTTGAAACTCAACATTTAATGAAGTGCAGAATGAATCCAGAGTCAGTGAATCCAGAATTTATGATCCAAAAAGAGAAATGGAGTCGAAACCGCAGGAACCAAATAACTTCATGGTTAAATAACTAAGCAGTAGTTCCCTGCAGTTTATAGCATCACTTCGTCATAGGATCATAGTTCAGTGCTTTTATTTAGCTGGTATTTTAAATTAAAAAATACGTTTGGTGATTTAAACAGGTTCCTAAAACTTTTAGGCTTCACAAGGTTGTTGTTGACTGTCTTTCTCCTGAGCTCATATCGCTCTTACGTCTTAAAAAGACTGATCCCAGAAAGTAAAGGAGAAGAGTGTGTGAGCTGGTGAGATGAGGAGAAAGAGAAAACGCTTAAAGGAGATATTCAGTGGAAATGATCTCTTTTCTCTGAGTCACTTTGTGTGGGAGGCGTATGAGCTTGGCAGCCATTACCGGTATGCAAGCACATGGTCAGGTCACAATGTGCTCTATCATTATGTCGCAAAGATGTGAGACACTGAGAAGTTTTTTCACTTAAATACAGGATCAGCTACTTATTTCACAATAACTTTTTCACACTTTCAGTCCATTTTCCTTATAAAACTTCTGCACTGTACTTCAGGACTTCCATTAATATTGCAGTCGCCTTTTTTTTATCCAGAGGACTGTTTTCCTGTTGTTGGAAGAAGTGGTCACCATTTGCTTCTGTTGTTTTGTATTTGGCTGCAACGCTGTGATACCCCTGAAACTCCACAAGTGTTTAGTGGACTCAAACACTTCGCACACACACACACACCGCTCCATCAGCATGGCTGTGAGTAGATAGATTTCATTTCTTTAAATAAATGAATAAAAGAAGAGTGTGTTTTGTTTGTGGGTTTGGATTCATGGTTGTAGTCTGGTTGTAGTCTGGTTGCAGTTTGCAGCCTCAGTCGAGGGGATGAGAACAAAAGATGAACATTTTGAAGGATTGCGTCACATCCTCCTTCTTCACGGGGGTGAGGAGTGTCCCGCGCCCTGATTGGCCGGCGGGCGTTACAACGCGGGCGCTGATTGGCTCGGAGGTTGCCGCTCCGCAGCTTCATTTTGAACATAAATACCAGCAGCTCCGGAGTGTTGCTCCTAGAAACCAGCGGCTGTCAGAGAGGGAGGCCGCCGAGCAGCTGCTGCACGATGCGGATTCGATAACCCAGCAGGACCCGCTTTAAAGACTTTATCTCCAGAGCCGCAGAGTCGCTTCCGGCCGGTTTCTCACGCTCCTTACGCCTTTTCAAATGTTTCCTGACGCTAGCTAGCGGGTTAGCTTCCTGGTTAGCTTGAAGATTTGCACCGTCTTGCTAGCTTCATTGGAAATCCACACTCAATTACCTCCCTCCCTCCCCCCTACACACACACACACACACACACGACTGCTGGATCTACACACGCTGGACATCCAACCATGGAGTCGGTGAATCTCTTCGACCCAGCCAGCCCCGTGAATACCGTTTTGAAAACTAGGCCCGACGCGATCCCCGGCCTTTCCTCCCTCTCGACGCCGCACTGCAGGGATCTGTTCTCCGCCGGACCCGCGGCGGTGCTGTCCCCCGTCACCAACCTGGCTCTGGTCATGGACAATCTGAATGGACTCGGAAGGTACCGTGGTGTTCTCATTGTGTGTTCATTCGAATTGACCCAGCTCTGGTTCTGTGCTCACGCCATTGTTTTCTGCACCCAGCCTGTGTGACACCCCGAAGAGGAGTAAGCACGCACTCCTTGAAAAGATTCCCTCCTTTGCCTCTGACGTCTCATCTGATGCCGGTGAGCCTCCATGAAAACCTATTGTCTGTGCTAATTGATGCCATCACTAATGATGCCTGAGGGCCCAGTGTGCCACTGATTCACAGTCATGCACTTAAGTGTATCACTAATGGTTCATTTCAGAGATTAGTTTCTTTTAATTGAACGAGCACTCACGTCAATTTCAAATGTTCTTTGTTTTAAGTGACTATTAACTTTAGGTTTCAGCCTGTTTGTGAAAACAAGCAAGGTTACCTCTGGGCATAAGGACCTAGTGTTCAAGTTCTTTATTTGTTTCTGACATGTTATAGACTAAATTATCATTCTTTTTTATCTGAATTGATAAAGTAAAACTTGCAGATCCATTTATTTTAATGCTCAGCTACATTCATCACACACTTAACCCCTGTTTTAAACTGGAAGCATGTGCAAATGTCACCAGCCATGGGTCTAATCCACTGGTATTTATTGGGAGCCAGTATCCATCTCTGACCCCAGTCTTTCTCTTCAGGCCTCGACATGGATCCCCCGAGCCCCATGGACGCTGTTGAAGTGGAGGACACGTAAGTTGCGCTGTCCTCATCCCGTCTGTTGCAATCAATCAGCCTGTGAGCTGTGCCCCTCTGATTACCAACCCCCCACCTCCACCCCCACCATTTCTAATTTGTAGGATTATTGTTTCTACCGTTGGCTTTAAAACGAGAGGTTCACTCATTTCTACTAAGCAGATTAGCTGATAAGGCATGTTACCTCAACTTTCTTTGTTTTTAAAGTTTAAGTGAAAAGAGTGTGAGGTCTGGAATTTTACAGTTTACAATTTTGTCAGTGGGAATAAAATGTTCAGACTTTCAACATGTTTAATAACACAACTTTAAGAGGAAACTCATTTTTATAGATTCCTATAGGTAAAATGGCAAGTTTCCCATTTTCTGTAGCTGATCAAAAAGGGGACTGGACATACCACTTGTCCTTATCTCTACCAGCCTGGCTGCCTTATCTTGGGTGGCCCTTGTCTTGATTCTCAGTTGCCTGAGTTTCTGCAGACATCTGCCGCTGTGCAAGTTCCTTTACAGCAGCATTTGGTCCCCAAGACCTCATTCACCCTCTTTACAGCTGTTCGGTTGCTAGGAGGTTTCCTGGTTGGGGGGGGGGGGACGTGGCCTACGCTTGGGTTTAATGATGGCCCAGCCCCTCTGGGTTTTGGCACACTCTCCCTATGCACTGTTATTTCAATAGTAAAGAGGGGGCAGGAGTTTTTTTCTGCATCAGGGCTATTGAAACGAGGGCACCCCCAGAGAACAACTCCCCTCTCCCTCCTGCTCTGCATTGAATGGGACACGCTCCCCCTCGACAAACAAAGGACCTTTGCAGGAAAGGGGCTGGCGGCATTGGCTCCAGCAGGCATATGGTAGATTAGTTGATCTCTGCATCCCTTCCCCTCCTGAGCTCTCCACTCGAACTTATTTAGCATACAGGTGGGCATCGCTCCAGCGCAGAGACCACCTCTTGCTTCTATGCACTCGCCCAACTTCCTCTAATCCAACCGTTCCTCTTGGGTCCTCAATAGAGCCACAGAGTCTTTGTACTTAATGGGCACACAGTGTCTGGACTGGCAATTAAGGCCTTCCAGCCTCTTTCCAAAGTGGGTTATCTTAAAAAGACTGGTCACCTTTCTTATTGCACAGCTCTATCATGACACATTTGAATAATTTCCTACCAATTCTGAATGGTTTCTCTTTCTTTCCATCACAGATTTGAAAGGGCAATTCAGTCGAGCCGAGTTGTCAACGAGTAAGTTGCTTTCCAGTCAATATTCTAAAATTACTGGTGTTTGGCTGTTATTGCTCCTGTTATTTGAGTGACATTGCTCTCCAGGGACAATTTTACGACACAAATCTACAACAGTTTATTGATTTCATTTGTGCTGAATGCTTCCTCTGCTCTATCAATTACAGGAGGCTACCAATTCGAAGAATCAACTCATTGCCAGTAAGCAGATTTGGGATATTTGCCATTTTTATAGTTTCATTTGTCGCTGATGTTCAGTGTTGTATGAGGCTTTCAGATCGCTGCCTGTTCGGTTATCAAGCATCCAGATCACTTTAATCTCCAAATTTGCCTTTTGTTACAAATTGATCATTCAGTTCATACGAGTAAAGAGAATGGAAGACCATGCATAAATGAAAGGGTCTGTCAACAAGATTTAGTTTTCAATTCTATTAGTACTAATTGTCCTCCACTGTAAACCTCTGCAGACCAACTTTTTTTTACCGGGTCTCTCTTCTCCTTCCCTCTCAGCTCCAGCTCCTGGGTTTCAGTCCATCGCTAAAGGGACAGGAAACAGATTCTCACCGCTATGGAGTATTCGGCCAACAACCCTCCCAAATGAATGCCGCCATCTCGTCCTGTCTACTCGACAACAAAGAAAACATGCCGGAGGTCAGTGGTGCTGTTTTCCTTTGGTGGAACACATCAATGAGGAGGTGTATTTTTGGAAGAAAACCTACTGTTACACTCACAATCCCCTGGTTACATACAGAAGTTTAACATAGAATTCGATGCTCAGGAAGCTGATCTGTTGCCATGGTGAACAAAACAAAAGTTATTTTTTCAGTTAATTTTTGATACCTGCAGAAACCTGGTGTGTAGCTATATTGACTTATTGTTTGTGTTTGAATGTGTTTCCAGGAGGGCTTTGAATTCAAGAAACCAACCAAACCAGTGTCGCGGTGTCGAATGCGCTCCTTCAACGGTGGACAATCTAAGGACACATTTGCTCGCCGCCCCAGCTCAGCACCAGCGCTCATGGTATGCCAACACCTGAAAAGTTGTTATCCATGTTTGGGCTCAGGGTTTAAAACCTGCTTCTAGAAATATTTAAACCTTTTTTCCTTTCTACTTTGTTTTCTGCTCAGTTTTCTTCACCTCCTCCAGTCCAGCAGCTTGACTTTTATGACTCCAGCCCCGTGTTCCTGAGAGGCTCCTCTGCCAGCTCTCTGAGTGACGATGTGGACGAAGTGGACGATGGATTTTTGGATGTTATGGATGACAACATGGAGGTGAGACCCTGTTACTTTACAGAATGTTCGCCATTAAAAAACATTTGTATAGTTTTACTGTAAGAACCACATGGTTTCATAACATGTATAAAATTCATATCATACTGTCTTATATTTTTCTGAAATCTCTTTCGCCTACAGAACGACTCTGGGATGCCGATGGGAATGGCTAGTTTGCTCACTGCCCCACTGGTTTCCGACAGTACAGGAGAAGACTCTGTAAGTCCACGCACTGACAAAAGTTCTCTGTATATTTATCTAAGGAGAATTACAGGAGCAAAGCCATGTCACGTCAGCAGCATCAAACGTGGGATTTATTTCTATAGATTAAAAACAGTTATGGCAGGATTGTCTTTGGTGTCGTGCCCAATTTCATATCGCATTAATGTAAAAACTGAAATTTCATTAAAATTTTTGTCTCCTTTAGCCTGTGATCCGCTGCCGGCCGCGAAGCCTGTTTCGCTCGCCCTCCATGCCCAGTCCGGTTTCCCGGCCCTGTGCGAAGCGCCCCGACTGCCCCGGAGACGATATCACGCCGGTTAGGGTGAAGCGACGACGCAGCCTGGCAGGAACACAAGTCACCAACCTGGAGCAAAACCCAGAATCCCCACGAACGGTGAGTCCTCACTGCTCTTTTACACCTGCATGAAAGCAGCAGGACATAATTTTAGAAGTAGAAATGATAGAATACCGTCTTCTGTTTAATAAAGATTTGTAGATTTAAAACAAAAGCACAATTTGCATCTTAAAAACCTCCGTTGGCCGTCTCTTGAGAAATGATTTCTCCTGCTCAGACCAACAGACTATGGTTCCATGGTTTGTCAAATAGCCTAATTTTTTCCCTGTCGTCCTCTTCCAGAGCTGTTCGTTGCTCCAGAGATCTAAATCCTTCTGTCAGACCGACATCGAGAAGCTGCTGGACAGTGAGGACAGCTCTAATGAGCTGATAGGCGATTTCACCAAGGTTAGGAGGACTGATGAATCTCCAATTGTTTTCTTAACACTGACTTTAAATATGTGAAATTAACCCAAATCTGATCCTTTTTCCTTTAGCCTTTTGTATTACCCACAGTGGAGGGCAAACATCAAGACCTCAAGTACATTACCCCGGACATGGTGAGTAGATGATCTTTGCTGCTTTTCTCTTTTCACTGTTTTAATGCTGTGATTTCTCATATTTAAAAAAACAAAAAAACATTTAATGTGTTTCCTCTGGTCCTCAGATGGTGGCAGCTCTGACCGGCCAGTTTAACCATCTAGTTGAGCGAGTCATTGTCATCGACTGCCGCTACCCCTATGAGTTCGAGGGAGGACACATCCAGGTGAGTCTACATCTGCGTACATGTGCAGTTTACTGTCAAATAGAGGCTCCAACAAAATGTTCATACTTCTATTAATGTATAGAGAACACTGAATGTGCAGAATGAAGCTGAAACTAGAGAATGGTCAACATTTTTCTTCTAAAATAACAGAAACGATCGAGCCGGTATAAAAATTATTGCAGATGAGACCTGGTGGTCAAGTAATGAACTAATTCTTCCCACCCATTGAATGTCTCATTTGTAGCAATATCTCTTGACTGGGTCTAAAAGTTGAGAAAGGACTCAACATTGACTATAATGATTACAATGGATTAAGTGTTGGTTTTCATCTGTTGTCAGGGAGCACTGAATTTGCACCAGGAAGCGCAGCTGGAGGATTTCCTCCTCAAGGCCCCCATCATCCCATCCTCCGCAGAGAAACGAGTCGTCATCGTCTTCCACTGCGAGTTCTCGTCCGAGCGCGGCCCTCGAATGAGCCGCTTCGTCCGGGAGCGAGACCGCGCCATTAACGAGTACCCCAATCTCTACTATCCCGAGCTCTACATCCTCAAAGGAGGATACAAGGAGTTCTACCCTCATTTTAAGGTGAGTTTTGCTTTTGAGATTCCGCTCTAGCTTTTGGCTACTGTGACATGACATGGACACATCCTGTTTATATCCAACAGTCTGTAAACATGAGACTGCACAGCCTTGCAGCAGGACTGGAATGCTTGGTGTTCATTAACCATAGTTTATTATCTCACTGAGCACAGCTGAACTGTTGCTGCTGAAGAACACATGTTGGTATTCAGCTGTTACTTAAGCATTTCCACAGAATTAATTCAACATATGGTGATAACAGGCGCACGTGCACAAAGGTCCGTGATAGATTCTGAGAGACAGTAACAGACTGAAGGGAAGTGAAAGATAAGTTCTCACAAGAGATAAAACACATTGATGCTGCAGCTGAAACTCTAAAGGTCTGACTGTCTGCATGGACAGTAACATTTTTATAGACGTAACGTGAGCAATGCAGTGGAGCGACAACCTGCGGCAAATAGATCTTTTTATTATGAGAAGTGTAAAAACATTTTCACAGCAGGACAGATTAGACTTGTCTCAATAAATAATTAACAACCTTTTTTTGTGGAGCTCTAGGATCCCAAACAAGCCACACATACAATTTTCATTATTTCTGTTAACATGGAACAACCAGCCAAAGAACTTTAACTTTAAAGTTTGTTCTAGACCCTGGAATCATTATGTATGACAGAATATTTTCAGATCACTGTCTGCTTAAAAGCCTTCTGTGATCTTCTCTAATGTCTCTAACAATGTACGTTGGTAAAGAGAGGCCAGTAAGTGGACAGGATATTTTCTCATGGCATTTTAAAGTTACTTTCACACGTTGATGGTTGAACCACGTCCTCGGTGGCTGTTCAGCTCTCTGAACCTGTCTCATTATCTTCCTCGGCAGTTGCAATGTGAACCTCAGTCGTACCGGCCCATGCACCACGAGGACTTCAAGGAAGACCTGAGGAAGTTTCGCCTCAAGAGTCGCACTTGGGCCGGGGAGCGCAGCAAGAGAGACATGTACAGCCGCCTGAAGAAGCCCTGAGCGCCTCCCCAACTGCCTCAAACACACTGCCCCTCCCTCCCCCTGAACGGACTGCAAAGTCCAACATGGAGATAATGTTTTTGGAATCGCAACAACAAAACTGGACTTTTTAGTCTCTATTGTGTCATTTAACTAAAACAAATTGTTATTTATGCAAATTTTAAGGGGGAAAGACGTGAAATGATGAACCCTGCACCTGAAGGGTCAAAGGTGCCGAGGTGCAGACTCGATTAAGATGATCTGAAGCATTGTGATCTTTTTATAAAAAACCACTTGGACCTACTGCCTGTTTTACCTTTTGCGTGGTGCTGACGTAAGAAGCACAGATCACTGCCAGCTACTGTGCAACGACCAAACCAATCTGCCAAAATCTCGAGTTTGTCTTTCTGTCTCTTCACTGGATTTTTTTTTTTTAAGACATTTTTTTGCATTCTTCATTTTCCACCTTTTGTTAGCACTTAAATCAAAAACCTAAAATGGTGAGGTGCTTTTTTTTGATACAGCATTTTTTTTAAAATAACTTTTAATGAATTTTCTTGATTCCCCATTTAGGCATTTGTTGAAAGCATGACTCTCCAGACGTCCCCTAATGCTTATTTCAACTTCATAATAATTTGTAAAAG